TCACTTGGTACTTTAAGCATAGTCGTGGTACTACTGGTATAACACTGGACATTGGACATAACATTGGACAGTCTTAGGAACTAAATATCTGTACTTTGAGGATGGGTTCTATGAGAGGACCAATGAAACATGCAAACAAACAACAAACAAAAAACAAAAAGAAGTTTAAAACAATGATAGCTATCTTTTCTTTTTGGAAAATGTTTCCCTAACACCATATTATTCCAAGATAGTATACGAGACAATACTGACTGGCCTTCTTGTTGAAATGTACAAAGTATTTGTAAATGTAAGCAATTGATGTGAGAGATGTTTGCATTGCTTAAATATTAAGAATATTAAGAATGCTAATTTCTTTATTTAAGAAAAATACCAAAACTTTGGTTTATAAACTCACCCAGAGATGAACAATAGGCAATGCCTGTTTTCCTATCTTTTCTACACCTCATGAAAATAATTTATAAAGAAAATACTTGATCAACAGCACAGCATGTCTTCATGAAAGTTCAAAATGCTGGAGACAAAGAGAAGATCACAAAACTTCCTCCAGAGTGAAAAACACAAGTTACATCCAAAGGATGGAGAATCAGAATGGCTTTGGACTTCTCAACAGCAACCTAGGAAGCTGAAAGACAATGGAGCAATGCCTCTAAAATTCTGAGGACATTTTCCAGCCTGGAATGCTATAGTTAGCCAAACCACCTATCAAGGAAGTGTGAGAGCACATCAGATATTTTCAGACTTGCAAGATCTCAAAAAAACCTGACCTTTCATGTACCTTTTTAAAGAAGATAATGCTCTTTTCAATTAAGGAAGCACACCAAGAAAGAGGAGGATATAGAGTCCAGGAAAGAGTTAATACCACATAAGGGGCAGGGGAGAGAAATCCCTAGAATGATGATTCTCTATTCACCTTCAGTGAAGGTGAAGCAGACCCCAGGTTACAGATGTGCAGCAGGCCTGTGGAGCAATCATGCAGTCGGAGCAATTCTCCAGAAGAGATACCTCTGAGAAGCTAAAACTAACAGAATTCCAGATGTGTTTGGCCCTATTGAAAGGAGACTTACACAAGTTTGGAAGAGTCTGGCGATAAGTCATTTTTAAGTATATAGAAACCTGAGAGGCTGAAGAATATGGCTCTAGGAAAACAGGTTGTGCAAAACATGAAAAGTAATTTTAGTATACCTCATGACTCAGCTGTGAATAGTCATCATTGTGTTAACACTGATTATTGGTTACACAAAAATTGTGATGTAACACTATTGGGAGGATGGGATAAAAGGAAATATGCATGTATGTGCTAGTGGGGATGGGACAAGAAAAAGGTGAACCCTCATGTTTTGGGTGGGAACTCAATACCTAAAACTGAAGGAAACAAACATGGAGGCATAACCATGTTACTTAGAGATAGGGAGGTAATTACTAAAAGAAACAGCTAAAATAATTGAAAATAGTTGACTCTCAAGCTAAAGAATGGAAGGGCACAGTCACGGGACTGTCGTGTTTTTGTCATAAGCCTTTTAGAATTGTTGTCTTTTTACATTCTGTGAGTGTTTGGCTTTGATAAAAATTAAACTTTAAAAAAGGAAAACTGAGGGGGAATTTCAAGTAGAAAAAAAAAAAAAGACAAACAAGGATGAGTTATACTTCCCATTACAAAGAAACTCAGAAGAGAATACTCAAAAATTAATGCTAAACAAGGAATTAAAGTTAAGCTCAAGTATCATTTCCTAAAACATTAAAAAGAGAATGATGTGAAATTCTATGTTCTTCCACCTTTTTCTTTCCACCCACTCTCATACTCTGGACAAATGTTGGCATTTATGTTCTATAAGTTGTAGATTATAGGGGACCTCAACTCAGAGCTGGCTTTTACTTGAGTAGAATGACTAGAAAACTTGGAGGCCAAGTTTCAGTCGTCTAACCCAGTCTCTTGATTCTCCAGATGTTTATCTGACTACTCTTTGCTTCTCATCTAATTCTTAGAACATTATATGTCTGGCCATCTTGCCGTTTTCCCCTCCTCCTCTGGCTTCCTGATCCAGACTCATCCATTTGTCCACCTGGCCCTGATTCATTCCTTACCCTGACCTTGCTGTCTGCATTTGCTTTCACTGCCCTATCCATTTCCCCAGCCTAATTCTTAAATTCTGGCCCCCACCTCCTCATCAACACTTGGCTAAATCCATTTTGAATAACCAAGGGGAATGGAACTCCCTGTGAAGAATCTGGAAAATCTGCAGCGCTGTTCTTTCTTCATTCTTGAGAGCCAGGATAGCAGCTGAGGGCACATGTAGGGAGAAGTGTGCATGTACACACACGTGTGTGTGTGTGTGTGTGTGTGTGTGTGTGTGGGTGGGTGTTTTGGGAGAAGAGGGCACAGCCACGTTGGACCCTGTCATTTTCCTGGGAATACTAACATGTATATTTTTGATATCCTGGTGTATTCTTTACCTGTTCTTTCATTTCTCCTAGAAACTATTCTACAACTTTAAATCCAGGGGCATCTTTCCACCTTCCTTGCATGAACTGTATTTTGATCTCTTAAGAGGCTGTGGCAAGACTTCAGTCCATGGTGATTTCATACGAATTGACATCTGAATTGCTTTTAGACTGCATTCCACACCAATCTGCCCAGCCCTGCAGTTTATGGTCTAACTCCTGTTGTCTTTCAACATATGGAGCACTATTAGATAGCGTGCGTTTGGGTCTTGTCCGGGAAGCTGATTAAGCCACAGTCAGGGACAGGAGTCCTACGTGTGAAATGTAACAGGCCTTCCTGAAACAGCTCTGGAGCTGCTGGAGGTGCTTGGTGCTTTTCTGTTGGGGGATGGGCTGCTGGCTAACAAAGCAAACACATTTTTTTCCTAATGTGAGCTGGGTCTATGGTGGTAACTTTTGGCAAGTTGAGCATCAGGGAATGCAGATAACTGAACAGATGGGTAACTATTAAAAGATTTGAGGGGCTTTTATCATTTCTCAAATGGCCTTTACCCACCTACAGGATACCCATTCCCTTGCAAGCTTACGTAATGGATTCAATTAATTTTCTTCCTTTTTTTTTTTTCCAATTGCGATGAAAGCAGAAACTCTGATGTTAACAAGAAAAGAATAGATGAGAAACTTCTAATTTTGAATCTCCTTGGGATTAGATGCTGATTTCAGCCGTGCAGAAAATACTGCCCCATATTTTGAAAGAGTAGCTGCTGGCAGTTTTAGAGGAGATGACTTTCCAAAATAGACAGTGAATTCCCCATCCGTATCTGGTGACCATCTGACATTTGAATGCAGAATTACAGAGCAATCCACGTGTTTCGATAAGTATAACCTTGCTTTTAAAAAAGGCAGTAGCAAGTCATCATTACATTTAAGCTCAAAACTAATGGACTACAAAATACAAAAGAGAAATGCATTCCCTGGTTCCCAGCAGAAACAGCAAATATTCACACATCTTAGAGCAATAAAATTTACCCACACTCTGGGCCAGTGTTGTCTCTGATGCAGAAGCATACCAGTTCATCAGCTCAGGATGATGCTTGGAAAGTTCGTAAGAGTGAGAAGTACAGACACTGAGGTGAGGCCTGTTTTACTCTCTCTAGGGCAGCAGCCTGAGTTTTGCCAGGAGCAGTCATAGGTTGGTATGGTCAGAGTTATTGTACCTATTAATATCAGCTAGATCTCATGAACCTGGCCAAATGAGATTGGGTTTCCTTAATAACATCACATCCTGGGGCCAAAGATTTTAAGGTACCTATCTTGTGTACACTCAGTGTAGCTATCTAAGATCAGTTTGGAAGCAGGAAGGATGGATAGATACCCAGTCCCACTTTTATCCCCAGTTCCTTACTCAGCTTCAAACCCAGTTTATCCCAGCCATGAGTGTTAGGTGACTGAACAGCGCTGTCTCCAAAAGCTATCCCACCTGAAACTAAGTTTATCTAAAAAGAATCAGCAACAAAGGGACATAACCACTTCTAATATTTTAAATTAAAATATCCGCCATGCAGAATAATTGTTATTGAAAATAATTCAGCAACAGAAACACAGAAACAAACGAATAAGTAGAAGACAATTAACTCTGGAGGTGATGGCCTTGTTGGCCTGCTAAATGTTGCAGTTTCACAAACTCATAGTTCTGTGCTGCACTTTTTGCATTAAGGTAACTGAGTAAACAAGGATTATCGGTGGGTTTAGTGTCCTCTGGAGAATTATACTTTAACAGAAGGAATTATTGGAAATGGTTAAAATATGCTCTCACCATTTAGTGGTATAAGAGTTGGTAATATTAATTGTGAGATCTATATTCCTGGGCTTTTAAGTAAATGCTAGACATAGATGGTGTCAAAGCACAAAGAAGTACCCAATGAGACACTGGATAATGGTATAAAGAGAGTGAATATTTGTGTATTGCTTATGGAGCTTGTAAAAGTCATTGACTTGAATAGAAAACAAGCTCAAAATTTGTTATTTTCACACAGTTTCTTGAAGGTAGAAACACCCTTTAGGTAATTATGGCCCTTGCGAGTAATTTTTATGTTCCTTCTTGCCGCTGTTAAGTTTGATGCTGTCAGTTTGCTAATCCTGCCTGACACTCACATGGCCTGTTTGTGCCTGTGTTCTTCTAGAATGGCGGAGATGCAGGGACTGATGGAAAGACTGGAGCGGGCAGTCGGCCGCCTGGAGTTGCTGTCTGCAGAGTCACACCGACCTCCTGGGGACTGTGGAGAAATGAACGGTGTCAATGGAGGTAGGGCCACAACCTGTTTTACAGCCTGTTTTCATCACTGGTCACTTAGGTTTGTCCCCATTCTTTAGTTCTCAAGAAGTATTTCTATCTACTTTCTTCCACTTCCCTACTCCTTCCTTTATATGTGACCATGACATTAACCAGATGCAAGAGATCCCTGAAAAAGAGAAAGGGAAGAAAAATTTCAACCCACAATCCATGAAAATTACCAGTATCTCTGCCTGTTAAGAGCATAATCCATGTGCCAAATACCATTATTCTTTCATTTTAGTGTTTATACTGCTGCTCCACCCTCAATGACTAAATTATATTATCTAAGCAGTTATCAAAAAGAAACTAATGTTCTCAGAATGTAAATTGGAAGGAATGATCAGTCTGTAGATTTTCATTTTAAAGTGAATAAGTCATTACATTTAAGGACTGCAGTTTCAAAGCAAGCAAGTCTGATGTGAACCCAAGCATGACTTTGATGTTACATGATCATATCACATTGTTTTACCTTTGCCTGTTCCTAACCAAATATGCTTTTAAAATTATATGCTAATACCACACTTAAAAAAAGATTTTAAAAATTATATGAGCAAACATAATAAGTTAACTATTTCTTTAAAAGGATACCATGTATGGCAAACTCTCTAAGTTATCTACAGTAATTTTTCCAATTTCTTCTTGTCTAAGGTTGCAGATTTAGCAAATAAAAAATACAGGACACTCAGTTAAATTTGAATTTCAGATCAACTACTTTTTTTTGGTCTGTGTTTCAGATACTGCATGGGCTATATTGAATGGTGCACATTTATTCTAAAAATGTATTCATTGTTTATTTTAAATTCAAATTTAACTGGGCTACCTGTATTTAATCTGGCAACTCTTGTCTTGTCTCACATATGTTTCTTCCTTATCTGACCCATTTTGAATCCTGTCAGACTTTTGGGGGCTGAGAAAAGCCTTGGGGAAGAGGGGGCTTCCAACAAAGCTTTTACCAGTCAAGATCCACATTGGTGCTTCTAGAATTTCAGGCGTATTTGGGGCTGTGCCTGGTATTGCATGCCCTGGGACAAAAATTACTGTGTGAGCACAAATGCACAGGCGGTCCCCCCTACACACACACACACACAACATAATGAAAATTAAAATGCTTTGAATGAATTGAAAGGGGATGTTGTTTAAAGGAAGGCTGCCAGGGGCCTGTAAGTTTTTTCCGCATCAATTGAGACACATCTATGATTTCATTTTAAGCCTCTTTTTAAAAACTATATAGTTGGTCTATGAGATTCAGTAAACCTTATTTGTAAGAAAATATTTTTTATGTACTCTTCTGTAACTTTGTTTTCTTATGACTTTGGCATCCAATAACAAAAAGACATTTCTCTAAGACTGCCAACCACAAATATAAAGCCTGCAAATAAATAAAATAAAGTTAAAATCCAATTCCCAAGAGATTGTTTAGTGTTGTTGAGTAAAGAGAAAAAACCCTCCATAATTTGAACTTCACTTACTCGAAGAGCTAACTAGACTACATTTTTAATTTTCTTTAAAAAAAAAAATTATGGGAAAACTAATAGGATAAGCAAAATTCGAAGGCATATAATTAAATTACTTAAGTATTTAAACAAATATTTTCTTAAATAGCAAATCATTCCAAACCTGTTATTAAAGTGAGGTCTTTTAAAACAACTTAGCAATATACTATCCTAAGTGAAATTAAGTAATATAATTAGTAAGCAGGATACTTAGTAAAATGTCTGAATGATAGCCATCCATAAAACATTTGACTAATCCTAAACAATGCAATTTTCATTTCTTCTTTATTAGTAAGCTTTGGTAATTTTCTAAATTCTATTTTTAACAAATCCTTAAGGCCAACCTCTCAGCTTAAATATAAATATCATCATTACAATGATGCTATAATTAAAGTTAAAAATTATTTTTTGTTTAAAAAAAACTTTAGAAGGAAACCAATCCATAATATGTGCAGATCAAAGAACTGCCTTCTTCTGATATTGGTATTATGATGTGTTTTGATATGTTTTATTTTTCCCCTGACAATCAGTTACGTTTGGCCCAACAGTGGAAGAAATATTTTTGCTTGCCTGCCAAGTGACAAGTACTATGTTATGTGCGAGGAAATCTAAGATGAATTTTACACAGAGACAGAATCTTTGATCTCGATGCATTACTGTACAGGACCGCAAATGCTCTAATTGAGGGGTGCTCAAAGGATGCAGGCAGGGGTGAAAGAAAGGCTGCCTGGAGGAGGTGTGAGCAGAGCTGAGTGATGAAAGGAAATTGTAAAATGTTCCATTTTATCATTATATCTTCTGCTGTGTAGAGGCTTCCGTCACATTTCTAAAACTTTCTACCACTTTAAATACTCAGCAGAAACCTCTCAGGCCTCTCCCACAGCAACAAACAGGTTTATCTGTTTCCAAGTGGATCCATAAGGAATCTTTGGGCTTACACCATTTTATGTTCTAGAAATTGGTACATACTGTATTTGAACTTTAAGATAATTCAGCTTCAGTAGCCTCCTTAGAAGTTAGACAATGTACAGAGAGCTGTAAACAATTATATTCATCACCCTTTGAGACTATGGAAATGGGCAACTGGGTAAAAGGGAAAAAGAAGGAAGGTTTTTTGTTTGTTTGTTTTGTTTTGGTTTTTTTTGTAAGATTTTATTGGGGAATTGGGGGAGGGGAACAACGTGGGGGAATAGGGGAAGGGGAACAGAGAAGTTGCTTTCCTTTTGTTCTTCAGTCTAGTTGTAGAGGACGCCACTTCATTAGCCCATGTTGGTATTGGGCTGTTGGAAAAGTCATGACACATGTTTGCGACAGATGGCACTAGTTCATTTTTGGAAGTACTAGAGTCATTCGCATCTATGTTATTGCTATGTCATTTGACAGCTGACAGTTCTAGCTTTATTCTAAAAAAAAAAATGAGTGATTTGGTTGAGTTTTGGAAATTTTACAACAAGTTGAAGATGGAAGACCAAACTGTGCATTTTTGCCATATTTTACTGTTTTACTTCCATAAAGGGAACTCGTGTCAAGCTTGTGAAAAGTTGCATAAAGTTTACAGTGACAATGCTTTATAAGAACATCAGTGCCAATGATAGTTCATGAAATTCCATGCTGGTGATTTTGATCTCAATGACGCTCCTCGGTTAGGGAGGCCCACCAAGATTGATGACAACAAAATAAAGGCATTGAACGAGTCAAACCCACGTAACATGACACAAGAGATTGCAGAAACATTGAACATCTATCATTCAAGCGTTCATGACCACCTGAAGAAGCTGGGATATGTAAGCAAGCTCGAGCTCGATATTTGGGTTTCGCATGAACTCAAAGAAGTTCATTTGACAGCGCATATAAACATCTGCAATATGCTCATTAAACATGAGGAAAATGATTCTTTTTTGAAGCTACTGATAACTGAGGATGAAAAGTGGATTGTTTACAACAATGTGGTGTGCAAATGGTCTTGGTCCCGATGTGATGATTCGCCTCAAACGACATCGAAAGTAGACATTCATCAGAGGAAGGTTATGCCCTCAGTGTGGCGGAATTTTAAAGGTGTCGTGTTTTTCAAGCTCCTACCAAGGAACCAAACAATCAATTCGAATGTGAACTGTCGGCAATTGGACAGTTTGAATGAATCCATCATCCAGAAATGTCCAGAGAGCTTGTTAATTGTAAAGGAGTTCTGTTCCATTGCGACAACGCGAGACCCCACACAAGTTTGATCACCCATCAAAAATTATTGGAGCTTGGATGGGATGTGTTGTCACACCCACCATACTCGCCTGATCTTGCACTGTCAGACTTCCACTTGTTTCGCTCTGTTCAAAACTCCTTGTGTGGTATAATGTTCAATTCAGATGAGGCTGTAAATTAGCACCTTGTTCAGTTTTTTGCAAATAAAGACAGGTCCTTTTCTGAACAAGGAATTATGAAGCTCACTGAAAGACGGCAAAAGGTTATCGAACAAAATGGGCAATATATCATTGATTGATCTTTGTTCTTTATATAAATAAATGACCTTTGAAAAACGTAGACAACATACGTCATGACTTTTCCAACAGCCTAATATCATCACTGCACCCTTCCTGGGTGAGGCAGTCGCTCACCGGCCATTGGACGGCCGCTCACAGCGGCTCACGGCAGCTCACAAAAGCTCACACCCACTACCGGCCAGCACCACTGCAGCCTATGCTGTGGCCAGTGACTCACGGCGGCCCAGCTCCAGGTTGAGCTGCTGTTCACCATCTTAGCTGTAGAGGGTGCAGTGTCACTGGCTCTCATGTAGGATCTGAACCGGGGCCCTGCTGCTCAGAGCGGGCGTCCCAAGCCAACTCCTAACCAAAGCGCCACTCAGCCAGCCCAAGAAGGAAGTTTTATCTTATAGATTTATGGGCTTGGATATTCCAATATGAGAAAGGGAGTCGTAGGTTTTGGTCTGGATTTTAATAGCCTGTAGTACTGAGATTTTCAATGTTATCTTTTTCCATATTAGGGACGTGCGGTCCGGGACTTAAGCAAATTTTTCTGTGAATTAAGAGGCAGGGAGAGAAATGTGGAGCACACCAATTACTGCTGTCACTTCAACTTTTATAGTTATTTGGAAGATCACAGCTTAATCTGCTTTAGCTGAGCAGTCATTTTCATTCCCACCATCGCCACCCCTCCTCCCCATGGAAGTGAAGAAGAAACAAAATGTGTGACATCAGCTTTCTTTTCCCATTGCCCAGAGTTCATTATTACCTTTTAATTGTCATGGATAGGGCCGGCCGAGTGGCTCAGTTGGTTAAGAGCTCGCTCAAGAGTTTGAGCTCTGAGCAACAGCGGTTCGAGTCCAGCCCGAGCTGAGCAGCCGCTGAGCTGCCAACAGGTAGCAGGATGGCTCAGCTAAAAAAAAAAAAAAAATTGTCATGGATAACATTAGTAACTGTTTGCAAGGCTTTTATAGGACCTGGTTCGGTCAGTATAGAAGAAGGTATGCTGGCTTTGGATTAGTAAGACTTGGTTCCCTTCTTGGATCTGCCTTTTATTTGGAAAGTGGCTTTGGTCAAGTCATATGCTTTTCATTAAACTACCAGGGAATAACAACATATTCTTCTTCCAAAGGTGTGGCACCCTCAGTGGAAGCCTTTGATAAGCTGATGAACAGTATGGTGGCTGAGTTTTTAAAGAAGAGTAGAATCCTTGCTGGTGACGTGGAGACTCACGTGAGTACTTTCTTTCCTTGTTCTCCAAGAAAAGGATCACTACTATTTAAAACAAACAAACAAACAAACAAACAAAAAAAACAGAAAGTAATAAGGGTTAGCAAGGATATTGAGAGATTGGAACCCTTGTGGGGATGTAAAATGGTACAGTCAATATGGAAAAGAGTATGGCGGTTCTTCAAAAAATTAGAGATAGAATTATCATATAGTCCAGCAATTTCCCTTCTGGATATATACTCAAAAGAATTGAAAGCAGGATCTTGAAGAGATATTTGTATACGCATACTCAGAACAGTGTTATTCATGATAGCCAAAAAATGGAAGCAACCCAAGTGACTGGACGGATGAATGGATAAGCAGAGTGTGGTATATTCACATTACTATATAAGAGAGAATATTATTCAGCAATTAAAAAAGAAGGAAATTCTGATGCATGCTACAACATGAATAAACCTTGAGGATATTATGCTAAGTGAAATAAGCTGCTCACAAAAAGATAAATACTGTATGATTCCATTTATATGAGGTACCTAGAGTAGTCAAATTCATAGAGACAGAAAGTACAATGATGGTTGCCAAGGGCGTGCGGAGAGAGAAATGGGAACTCATTTAATGGGTATAGAGTTTTAGTTTTGTAGTACAAACCAAACTTCAGAAAAAATTCTGGAAATTTGCTGCACAACAATGTGAATATACTTAGCACTACTGAACTGTACACTTAAAAATGGTTAATATGGTCAATTTTTTGCTATGTATATTTTACCACAGTTTTTTAAAAAAGTACAGCTTGAGGAAAAGCAAAGTAATAAAGTAATAGAATTTGATGATCTCTGGATTGGTAGAGACCTTTAATGACATTCAGGCCTTTGATAAGCTGATGAACAGTATGGTGGCTGAGTTTTAGACACCTTTTGTACATTTTTAAATGTTTAGCATCCTCTCTAAGGCTAGTCATTATTTGCATGCATTTAGTGAAAAATCTAATGGAATAGCCAAACCAATTAAAAACCTAAAAGAAGTTTATCACCAGGTTCTTTTTCATTTGCCTTTGTTTCTCGCAGAGGATTGAATTCCAAATCCATCTGCTTATAGATTTCTCAGCAAGAGACAATCCTGGCAAAACCATTTTCAGGATAGATTCACAGAAAATCTGATTCTTGAATAATGTTGTGGTTTGGGGTTAATGAAAAAAAACATAAAAGGTATTCTCTCCTTGTTCCTTCCCCAATTAGACATTATGTGCAACACCGGTCTTCCAGGAGATCTGGTGACTCAAGTTATACCAGAGGTTCCAGGATTGTAATTAAATAGGTGCTTATCTCATCACGTTTGCAATGAATTTGTTTGCCACATCTAAGAAAAATGAAGATGCTTCTCATGACCTCTATTTTTATTACATATTCCTGTTGAAATACCCATTCGCAAAAGAGGGGAAGGTCTGACATACATGAGTTCTAGAAAAGTCTGTGCACTAAGATGTGTCCACTTCAAATATATCACAGAGCTCTGTAATTACTCTGATCTGTTCTTGAGCTTAATGTTTTTGTTTACAAGAAAACATATATGCAGTAAGATATTGGCTGAGCTTCCTGTATTCTAAGGCATGATAGTACCTGAAAACTAATATATAAAAAGGAATATTACCCCGCTACACTAAATGAGATTCTTGAGTGATTGACGAACATTTACTCTCTTGATCACAATCACAATAATTATTGTATCAATTATTGTTACTATTAATTAATGTGGACATTGTGCTTCTGAGGTACACAGTATTCCTCTTATTAGTAATATCTCACAGAACTCTATATAGGCTTTTTTTACTAGAGAATAATGAGATTTATAAATAAGTATATTTAATTTTTTATTTTAAAAATTGTAGACCTTGCATTCTAAGTCTCTTCAAATTGCATAGTAAACAGTTCCTTTAAATTCTTTTTAGAACAAAATTGAGTTATAAATAAAGTATAGCATGATTTATATTGTTTTTTCTTCTCTCCACTCATTAGCCTAAAAAAAATATGATGCAAATAAAGAATATTCTCAATAATAAATACATAATACTTTTTTAGGAGGGAAGGAAGTAAGGAAATGAGAGAAAGAGAGAGAGAGAGAGAGAGAGAGAGAGAGAGAGAGAGAAACATTTGTCATCTGAAAGTTTAGACTCTGATTCTACAACACAAAGAAAAAATGCAGGCAGCTATCATCCATCTGCCCATTACTTTAATACATTGAACAAGTAGTTTATTTTTTCTCTCTTATAGAACCATGTGTCATTGACATTAAGCTTGCAGCTGCTGCCTCTCACATAAGCCAGAAGTGGGGGTTGAACTTTGTTCCAAGAACACACCTGTTGCCTAGAAAAAAAAAACAACAAAAAAAACCTCACATACCTGATTGTACAGTATGGAAACTTGAGAATGACACAAATGTGCTTCATGTTAAATCCTGTCCCCAAGCTTAAAAGCTATTTCACAGATACAAATAATGAATAAGGGCAGCCAAGCTATGATTTAACGTCTGTCTCGATGTGTTGGCTGCTGGTTGGGCTTAATTTACTGAACATTCAATAGTCTATTGACAGAATAGACCACAAAAAAAGTGGAACTAATAGCTACAATTAGGAAGCTCTGCTAAACCGAAGAATATAACAAGTTTAGCAAAGATTAGATCTTGTAAAACACTCTTGTATGCAACATAAACCATAGGGCTTATTTAAATTACTCTTCAACCAAGGAACACTCACACAGCTTGCACCCCTTTTAAGAAAGTACAAACAATGCATAATTTTATAATAGATGTTTAGAGTAAATATAGTCCTCAATGTCACAGGAAAGGATCCTCTAGAAACTGGGCCTATGTTAATACCAAGCCCTTCGTCAGACATCATTTTAGCCTTAAATGGACAAATGTGATTTTTTTTTTAACAAAGCTGCCCTGTAGTTTTTCATGGCATATGGAACTAAATCTCAGGTCTATTTCTAAATGATTTGAAAATCATGGAACAGCTGCAAATCACATAGCTTTTCCTAACTAGAACCCTTTTTGGATATTTATAGAATTTACATTTGAAATGTTTCTAGAAGTCTGGAACATTTATTTCTTATTCTCGATTATTCTTGATTAAAATGATTTAAAAAACACTTTTATTAATTGTTTAATAAAAATGGCAGAACTACAATTTGAACAAAAGGACAATAAAGTTTAGCACACTTAAACATAGCATGATTAATCGCACTGCACTATTGAATTCCCTGACTTTATGAAGGATGAACCCTTTTAGACAATTATTATAGCTGCACTTTTAATGGGTCACCATCACTATTCTAAATGTTCCTAGTCTTTGTCATTTATTTAAACCATCTACAAAATGTTTTCATTTTATACCATACTGGATTGGTAATGAGTTCAAAGAGTGGCCAAACAAGGAGTGTTTTCCTCTGACTAGCATTGGCAGTTTGTATTTGGATTTTAGAGCTGGTTCTGCTTTTTACAGCATGACCTTGAGCTAGTCCCTTAACCTGCTCAGCAGTAAGGCTGGACGACTTCACTTGGAAGGGCCTTCTGGCCTGCACAGCCTGATTGAGTGACTCAGCCGCTGTGTCAGCCTTAAAACATGAGGGGCGATTTGGTTTCCATTCAAAGAGCTTGCGATAGGGCAGCATCATCACCTTTATAAAAAGCATCTTGAGCTATGTAAGGGAAAGTACCTCAGTCACCTGAACATGTGAAGCAAGCAGAAGGAAACATGTCAGAAGAAGGACACACACAACACTAAAGATAAAATATCATCCTGCTTTCCCAGGATGTAGAAGGAAATCAGACTCCTTCATTTAAAAAGACCTTGAGGCCTCCATGAGTCTGTCCTTCTTGGTCTTACAGGTTGTCACTTCTTCCTTTACGTGGACCTTATATCTGGGATAATTAATAACCTTATGTCTGGAATAAATAAACAAAAATACACATTTGTTTTGCTAATTCTATTCGTATTCTTCCTTTGGTTTTGTAGTAATTTGTACTCATTTGTAAAAGTGACCATTTGCATTTTTGGTGTTTTATAATCTGGGACTACATCGTAACCCTTTTGCCCCTGCCCTCCCCAGCTCCAAAAATAAAGATGGGAAGAACAAGTTTGAGGTTGACTCAACAAAACAGCCCATTCCACACAGATCTTCCTCACTCCTCCACTCACCTTCAGCCAAGTTGGTCCTGCCATTAACTTCTGGTTTCCTGCTAATTGTTTTAATTTGAATATTTATTTTAATTATAGCTAGACATAGAATACCTTGGCAGTCTTAAACCCCAAAGATCTGTATGTCTTTGACATTCTCCAAATGGCAGAGATCAAGAAAAAAAAAAAAAAGACTCATGTAAAGAATTCTGCCTCAAGACTTTATACAGGTCTTAAAATTGGGAATCTTCTTTCTTACTATCTTAGCCAATTATGATAGTCAGAATTATTAAAGAAGGACATATCTTAGAAATCATACATTCCAATATACAGTCCCTTTTCTATTTCTTTCATTGTCTTCCTTCCTCCCTTCCCTCCTACTTGTCTTTTTCTCCTTCTTTCTTCAGAGAAGGAAACTGCAAACTAGAGCAGTTAGGTGATATGTTAAATGGAGCACCATATCTTAATGGCAGAGCCAGTAATCTTGTTTCCAGAGTGTTGATCCACTACATTAGGAGATGCTTGGCTTTGACCGGCTGGGCAGCTGTGTCTCCGAACACCTTTGTCAGTAACTGGGTCCTTAGGGAGAAGCAAGTGGCACTTACCTGCCACCTTCTTCCTGTCCTCTGCACTCTACAGCTGTTACTGTTCCCCTTACCAAATTTCCACAGTATAAGGAAAGGTCATTATGATGGGTGGTTCAGGCTCTAGGGCCAAGGAGAGAGTAGAGCATCATTGTGACTTGTGCCTTTCATGTGTCTCCTCAGAGCAGCTCTGGGGGACAGGAAGAATGGTGACCTCCAGGACAGATGAACTCTGTCCCACATGG